TGCCATCTTGTTCTTCACACTCAAAGCCATAGTGACGGATTTCTTCCAAGCATTGAAGTTGTCACCAGTGAGAGTCTCGGAGATGATGCGTAATCCAGCGTGATCGCTAGGATGCAGATAGTAAGAAGATGAAGTATCTTCAATAGGATTCAATGGAAAAGTTGTACGATCCATCGCATAGAGAATGATATGCGATTAGGTTTAGTAATCAATGGAATAGGGATGAGAAGAAAAAAACTGAGATTGGATTATAGAAATCGAAGAAGATGAACAAAATTAGGAAGACGATTAAAGATCGATTCCTAATCTGATACCATGTGAAAGCTGAGCTCAAGAATCAAACCAGAAGAAGATGAATTCGTATGTTCAGAGTCAGTTTGCGGAAGAAGAAATAAAGCATATGTTCAGATCTAAAAAGTTAACCTAATTACAAATAATAGAAGGTATTTATACCTTATACAACTCAATAACAAAGAAAGCCCAATAAAACAAGGGATAGGCCCAAAATATAAACTAAACAGTCCAATGTAATATCTTTAATACATAACGATAAGATGCAATATGAATTTACAAAGTGCATGTGAGAGGTCATAATGATAAGATGCACCATATGATCTACTAAAATGCACACACCATCTTACTAAGATGAAGTGTATGAACTTCTAAAGTGCACACACAATCTTATTAAAAAGCAGTGTATAAACTTCTAAAATGCGCATGTATAATGATTATAAATGCAACATATGAATTACTAATATGCAGATGTCATAGCGAAGAGATGCAATATGAACTATTAATGAAATATCAAGGCCAATATAAGAATTATTATTTGATATCAGGGGCGGAGCCAAGGGGGGTCAGGGTGGTCAGCCGACTCCGCTGAAAATTTGAGAGTATAGAGCTCTGAAGTATCTTCGATTTGATATATTATGGCCCCCATAACTCATTACGAGTAAAAAGTAATGACTTCTGGAAAATTAACACTATCTAAACGTAAAACCAGTAAAGTTTGATGCATACTATAAATTATTTTCCCAAATTTTAAAAATAGAGTATAATTCACTCAATACTTACGTGACACGAATCAGAAACAGAGCAAAGATTATCTATCTTATTGCTACGAGTGTCTATTTATCTAAACTGCCTATGAAATATTCAACTCGGACATTGTTTAAAAACTATCCACCATTTTCATTCTGTATATAGGTTTTGTTTCGACCCTCTGAACCATTTTTCTGGCTCCGCCACTGTGTCCAATGAGTATAATAACTATTACTATCATCATATAATTTTATACTGTGCATTGACTATATATTCTATATACTATGTATTATTTTTTGCTACTCTCAGGTATTTTATAAATATAGGGATTATAAAAATCATTTAACCTCTTATAAATAACATATTGTGTCTAGGCCGAGAGTTTATTGTGCATTATAATTTCTTAATACATCTAATCCTAAATTGGAAATATTTACTCCATAATATCTCTCTTTATCTTTCAGCGTTAACACGATTGTGAATGTAAATATAAAAATAAGTAGAATTATAATTGTGGAGTTAAAGTTTATCTAGACAATAAAAAATAGTACTACATTCGTCCCGTTGAAAGGTTCTCATGGCAAAACGATACGATTATTTAGACAATAATTAAATAAGGTAGTCCGGGTATATTTTGAGAAGTAATTTTAATAGGTATATAATATAATGGGGTTAGTTTTGATAATTGTGATGTTATAAATGTATTTTTTTTATATTTAATGATTAATTTTTCATTTAAGATTGTTAATCGTTTCCTAAAACGGAAATGAGAACCTTTATGTGGGACATCCAAAAAAGAAAGTGAAAACCTTTCTATGAGACGGAGGAGTATTAATCACACAATTTCCACTGTTGCTAAGACGTTTTCTTGCTCCGTTGATGTCCTACTCCCATAGTTTGGTATATTCTTGCTCTTTTTTATTTATGTTATTAATTAAGGTTGTAAGTAATTTTGTCTAAATTTATATACTTATTATATGCTCTTTTTTAGTATATGACTTTTTTATTCACGTTATATGCTGAAGGTATGAGAAAATTTTAATTATTGGCGGGTGTTAACAACTTTATGAAAGATGATGTGACGCGTCAAAAGCAACATGGATTTGAAGAAATATTCTATTCTTGTTCAGTCTGTCGTAACACGCGAAAAGAATTTGATGTTAATGTCATTTTTCAACACTTGTTCGAAAATGGATTTCGAGAAACTACACCCTTTGGAATCTACACGATGGACTATATTGAATGAAACTATGTTGAATCGAAGCGTAAAGTGGTTTATGTTCTAAATAGCTCAAGTGTTCATGATGTTGATGTATTTGATCATTTGATGATAAATCTTTTAATTGACGGCATGGAAATTTTCAAAATCAACCAAAGTCCTTTGAGAGTTTAGTTGAAGCTGCAAGGGTATTGTTGTACAGAGATCTCAAATTGTCTCTTGTGTTGAAATTGTTTCATCTGACAAAATACATGAGTGGAGTTATGTCCACCCATGTTTATGATTAATTTTTCCAATATGAATGAGAAAATTAGGGATGGCAACGGGGCGGATCGGGGACGGTTTTGCATATAACCGTAACCGCCCCGTTGGGTAATTTCCCCGCCCCGTAACCGCCCCATTACCCTACGGGTAATTTTTACCCAAACCATAACCGCCCCAACGGGTAACGGGTAAAACTTCGGGTAACCGCGGGTAACCACTTCATACTTGAGTCATTAAATTTTGATATAAAAATAATATTTTAAAAGGCGAATAATGACATCGCCTAGACGACTCTACACTTCAGATGCCAATTTAAAGATTCGTATACATACTAGACGAGAAATCAAGCAACTTAAATTAATTTGAACCTAAAAATACTTGATCTAAAAAATAATTAATCACAAAAATATGGTAATAATCAAACAAGACTATTAAAATTTATTATGAACTTTCGTTCATACATTATAGTTAGTACATCTATTATCTATATATACACAATGGAAAGAAAAAATCTCATCTTTTAATAGTTGTTAGACAAATAATAGATAAAAATATAATAAATATATCTACAAATAAACGGTGCGGGTACGGGGCGGGTAATGGGGCGGGCATGTATAAAACCGTAACCGCCCCATTACCCGTAAAAAGAAAACGGGGATTCCCCGCCCCGTACCTGTTACCCGGTCAATGCGGTTTTCCCTATTCTGACCAGAGCGATTCAGTGCGGGTATCCATCGGTTCGGTCACAATTGCCATCTCTAGAGAAAATGATCAAAATTGTACATGAAAGTTGTTTCGACAGATAGAAGTAAGTAGTACTCCATCTTGCATTTGAAATTTCAAAGTACATGAACTTGGAAAAACGGAGATGAGAAGAACGGCACCGCCTGTCATATTTAATGAAACCCTTGGAGATGAGAAGAGTTCGACGGTCAAGCAATAGGAGAAACTTGCTAGAAGTAAAGAGGTGGCGTTTAACTCTTTCCTATTAGTGGTGGCTGGTCAAACCACAATTACCTTACCAGTGGCCGAAAAAACTGGAACTTGTCATCCCTTTTATTCTTTCTTCTCAGAACTATTTTGTTACTTTTCTATATCATTCTAGTAGCAAGTGCAACTTTGCTGTTGGTGAAGTCTACCAAATTGTGGGGTTAACGAGTTGGTTCGCCACTAAGCGATCATCCAACTCTATGTCTCATCCCGGTGTAGCCTTTAGTTTGACAGCTTTGTATTTGGACATTTTCTTTAATATGAATTAAGTTATCTTTTGCCAAAAAAAAGTACATGAACTTGTATTTTTATAGTCAATCAAGTACATTTGCTCTGTCAGAACGTTAAAGTAGCTGACTTGGTGAAAATATCCGTTTGTATTATACAATTGCAATCCAAGTCATTTTTAAAGTAAAAAATGCTAGAGGATGCCAACCTAGGCACTGACCAATCTCAAATTTAAAAAATGCTTTAATTTTAAAGTAAAAAATTAGTGTAATTTTTTTCCAAAAATATTTTTTGTACTGCTCCAGTCTGGTCTAATGCCTTGGCTCGCCCTTGGAGAGCGGACGAGAGAAATATTTATTCGATGAAGAGCGAGAGAAGGGAGAGCAAATGTGCAAAATATAAAATGAAGAGCGAAGGTGGAAACGAGTGAACTGGAGGAAATTAGAATTTATAGATTAATTATTCGATGACTTGGACTGCAACAATATATTACAAACTGATAGTTTAGTCAGGTCAGCTATTTTAACATTTTAATAGAGCAAATGTACTTGCTTGACTTTAAAAATGAAAGTTCATGTACTTTGTAGTTTCAAGTGTAAGATGACGTGCCACTTACTTCAGTTAAAACAACTTCATGTACCATTTTGATGATTTTCTCCTATATGAACAAGGAGTGATTTTCTTGGGGATTTGAAATTGATAAAGGAACATTCTTGACCTAGGATTTTGTTCTTAATGTTTTATTGGTGTGAATGCATGTTTTTATAAGATTTGTATTGTGAATGATTTATATCTAGGGATGGACTAGACCGGCCCGGCCTGGCCCGTTACTGTTTGGGCCCGGACCGGACCGGTTGGCCGGTTCCGGGCTTTTAGCCCGTTTGGGCGGGTCGGGCGGGCCGAACTCAGGCCCAATTTTTGGTGAACCAGCCCAGGCGGTTCGGGCCGGGCCCGGTTCAAATTATTTTTTATTTTATTTTTTTTGCTTTTCTAGGTTAGGGTTGGGTGTTTTGGGGGGGTTTGGGGGTGGGGGTGAAGTGGGGGGGGGGGGGGTGTTTTAATTAGAAACCCAAAAAAAATGAACTTGACCCAGGCCCGGTTAGGCCCAGACCCGGTATCAACCCAGGCCGGTTCCGGGCCCAACATTTTGCAAAAAAAGCCCGCCCGGGCCCGGCCCGGAACCGAATTGGCCCGGGCCCATCCCTCTTTATATCGTTGTAGAATAATCTCACACACACCTTCCCACTCACTAAAAACATTTAGAAATTGCCCTAAATAGCAATAAAACTTGATAACATCATAATATCACAATATGATTTCATCTATTTAGCAAAAAACATTATAGCCCCATTCAGCGAAACCACTTTATTGTTTATTATGTTTTGGGAAATTTCCTTTTTTCATGTGTTCTCAGAAGGCGTTATGCCCACATGTTAGGACTTGGGGCAGTAGCACATGCCCTTGGGCCTTGACCGCATTAACATGTAATTGTGTGTTACATTTCTTATAAATAACGCAATCAATCAATTATTATAATATATATTGAGATCACTCCAGTTTGAAATAAAATGCGCTGATGTTTCGTTTACCCCAACCCCTCTTGAACGATGCCATTCCCAGTGTTGTAAGCTCAAATGCTCAATCTGTGAGATTTTGGATCAGAGCTTGGCTCTCCGTAGCTCTAACTTCGCAATGGTCCCTAAGTGCACTTCGTCGGGACCATCAGCTATTCTCAACGTCCGGGCTGTAGCCCAAAGATGTGCGAGAACGGTGTCTCCTGACAACCCAGCAGCTCCATGCACTTGCATCGCCATATCAAGTACCTTCAGGGCCATTTCCGGAGCTGCTACCTGCACTCACAGTAAACCAAAGCCAACTAATAAGTTAGTTCTACAAGTTTCGGCAAACCTGGCATAGGGTGTCAAAAAGGTGATGGAGTTTTTTTTTCTCAGTTTAATTCACCTTTGCCATTGAAATGGTACCACGAGCGTCCTTGTTGCCTAGGCGATCAAGCTGGTCAGCAGCCTCCAGAACTAGCAACCTGGTTTTCTCCAGTTCTATTCGGCACTATACCAATTATTAAAAAAGAATGTGATTTAGAGGCATTTCTTGTTGAAAAATATTAATATCTGATTGTATTAATATACACAAAGGCAGCAACTATAATATGGATTGTACTATAAAACAAAACAGTAATAAATAATGCAAAAGAAATATAAAAAATTAAGTGTCAGGATTTAAAATGACAAAAGGCTTATTGAAAATAAATAAATAATCCTTTGAATCATAAAATGTAGCACAACTACCATTTCCAATCTCACTATCTCAGCAGTTTGGGACCTAATCACTAAAATAATGCACTATTTGCGAAACATATACTTTGGTGGTCTGCCTGCAACAGTTCTGATGGACAGATGGAGTGATGGGTTTGATCGGAGCAACAGGGAGTGAAATATCAGTGGTCAACAAAAAGTAGACCACTTGTGTTCCGCAGCCATGTTGGTCACACACATACCAAAAAAGGTCAGAACAAATGACCATAAAACATGGATGTTTTGGCCGAAAATAAGAAATAATGTACGACTAGGGCTGTAGTATTCAGCTGAATATTAAGGATTCCATTATATTATTTTTTCATTATCACAGAAACGAAGTTTCTAATTGTGCACGAATGCTATAGAAAGCTATAAAACTGCATGAATGGTGTGTATGAAAAAGATAAAATTACACCATTAGTGTTATTCTAAAATCTCAACAACAAAACGCCCTTGGGCTAAAGACTATTTCTTCCATCAACTATTACGAAAAGAATCTCAAGACTGAGAAAGCTGATGACATACAAATAGTGTGAATGGTGTGTACGAAAAAGATAAAATTACACCATTAGTGTTATTCTAAAATCTCAACAACAAAATGCCTTTGGGCTATGGACTACTTCCATCAAAGTGGATAGAGGAAGAAATGAGACAAATGAATCAACAACAGCAGAACCCAATAATGACATGAACAGAACAGATGAAGAAGGAAAAAGAGCAAATGAATAAGGACAAAGATAAGTAACAACATCCATCCAATACTGAAAAAGAGAGTTCAGTCGGACTAGTCAAACAAAAGATTGGTAAACTTTTCCCTCTGTACTCATATTACGACTGTCAAACTCTAACGACTCCTGAGTTCTACTCATCTTTCAAGACTTGTGATAGAGGAAGTCCTTATCTATAATCTATCACAATATGTAAATATGGTAGACAATCAATTTATTCATGTCCCAAAGACCGTGATCAACTTCCTTATGTTTGCTGATTTTCCTGGATTGACTCCGCGCTTTTTAAACTACGCCACAGTTTGTCATCCACTTTGACAGAGAAAGTTGTTAACTGTCAAACTAACACATTCTCAATTTGTACTTTTGTACTAAATCTTATATGGGTGGAAGGGATCTAATTCCAACTTTGGAAAGTTAAAACATTTCTTATTACCATACTACCCTCAACATAATAGCCACATTTATAACAAAGGGGTGCAACATATGGAATTTCAGTAGAACTTTCCAAGTGTCCAGTGTCAATTTAAGAATTATAAAGACAAGAATAGTATTACCGTAGAATTTTATATGAAAAATTTCCTACAAAATACTTGAAAGTGTATTTATGTATTCTTTAATTTAACTTACTTCCCCTACACTTACTTTCAAGGAAGAGTAAATGGAGGAAACGTCCAAAACTCTCCCTTAATGTAATCTTCAAATGAAGTAATGTGGAATTGATTTATGTATTTATGTGTGCATCAGACACACTCGATCTGTGTGTGTGTGACACATGCACCTGTGTGCGTGACACACTCAATCTGCATGACACACGCTCAATCTGCGCGACACACATACACATATAAATTGCTCAGTATTTCCATTAAACCATTTGTGTAATAAACATACTCTCGCAACATCAGTACGGAATGAACCGTGCTCAGCAATAAGTTTTCCAAATACTTTTCTTTCAATAGCCCTCGTAACCATCATCTGCATACCACGTTCAGCTGCACCTATTAACCTCATGCAATGATGCAGCCTTCCGGGACCCAACCTACCCTATAAGAAAATGAAGACATTACAGTATTTCAGACATCTGGTATTGATAAAGGGCAGTCCGTTAAAACTTGATGCACTTAGAAGCAAATGATGCAGTCATGCAGGAATTGAAGCTTGAGATAAGAATCTCTAAGATCATAAACACTCTCGCTATATTTACCTGTGCGATTTCAAACCCACGGCCCTCTCCAAGAAGAATGTTCTTGTCTGACACACGTACGTTCTCAAACCAGACTTCTGCATGACCATGTGGTGCATCATCAAAACCAAAGACTGTTAATGGTCGCTTTATCATTACACCTGGGGTGTTAATATCTACTAAAATCATGGATTGCTGCTTATGCAATGGAGCAGTTAGATCAGTTTTCCCCTGCAGACAATTTAAATTTAGCAGCTACCTTAGAGTTGAAATCAAGATAAAGGGGTTTATCATGTTAATAAATTCAAAAGACAAGAACTAACCATAACAATGAGAAGTTTGCACCTCAGATCCATAGCACCACTAGTCCACCACTTCTTACCATTGATGATATACGAATTCCCCAGTCTGCAAAGTGCATAGTTTTTCGCATAAAAAGCATCCATAATAGACTGTCTAATTTGTACTTTTCAAGTCTAAAAGCATGGAGGCGCCAAAAACTAGTAAAACTGAAGTTTTCTGAATATTATTTCCATGAATTCATTTACAAGAAGTACATAAGCTATTTATACAGATAGGAATCCTGAGAGAGTCTATTCAGCACCCTAGGTGATTGTCTAAATACTAAACATAAATGATTGAGAACTGAAAAGACAGCAGCTATTAAATACAACCTGAAGCACTAAAGACACATAATTACAGTAATAATAAGGAAAATAAATCCTAGATTAATGATGTCTCTTCGTTTTATCAACACCCCCTCAAGCTAGGTTTGTAGATATCCGTCATGCCTAGCTTGACAATAAGACCCTGGAACCTAGGACTGTGCAGAGGTTTGGTAAACACATCTGCAACTTGATCTTCTGAGGGAGTGTAGCTTAGTTCGATCAGACCTCCTTCAACCTTTTCTTTGATAAAGTGCCTATCAATCTCAATATGCTTGGTCCGATCATGTTGGAGTGGATTATGAGCTATGTTGATTGCTGATTTGTTATCACACCTCAATTCCATTGGTCCTTTCCACTTGATTCGTAAATCTAAGAGAATAATTCTGATCCATAGAAGTTCACATAAGCCATGGGCAAGAGCTCTTAGCTCAAATTCAGCAGATGATCGTGCCACAACATTCTGCTTTTTGCTTCTCCATGTCACGAGGTTTCCTGCTAGGAAAACACAGAGACCATTAGTTGACCGGCGGTCAACGAGGAAGCCACCATAATCTGCATCAGTGAAGGCTTGGACTGATAATTGCCCACCCTTCCTGAATATTATCCCTTGCCCTGGACTTCCTTTTAGGTAGTGAAGAACCCTATAGGCTGCTTCTAGATGTGGTTTCCTTGGATCATGCATGAACTGACTCAAAACACTAACTGCATAGGCAATGTCAGGTCTAGTATGAGAGAGATAGATAAGTTTGCCACACAAGCGCTGATACATTGATGAATCAACCTTGGGTTGATCAGTAGCAAGTCCAAGCTTATGATTAGGATCCATGGGTGCATTAACCGGTCGACGAGCACTCTTACCAGTCTCATTTAACAAATCTGTAATGTACTTTTGTTGGCTGGTAAAGATGCCTTCAGATGAGCGAGCAACTTCAATTCCAAGAAAGTATTTTAGAGGGCCAAGAGACTTCATCTCGAATTTGGATTTCAGCTGCCTCTCAAGACGTTGTTTCTCAACTGGATCATTACCCGTCACAATGATGTCATCCACATATACTAAAAGAATAGTGACTCCATTTGGGCGAGTGTGTTTGTAAAAAAGAGTATGATCCCCTTGGCTTTGACTATACCCAGCAGCAAGAACAACCTGTGTGAAGCGGTCAAACCAAGCACGAGGGGATTGCTTGAGACCATAGAGGGCTTTTTTTAAATGACATACATGTGTAGAGGTACTTGTTGATGTTTTATTAAAGCCTGGGGGAATGTACATGTAGATCTCATCATGCAGGTCACCGTGGAGAAAAGCATTCTTGACATCAAATTGCAATAAAGGCCAATCAAAGTGAGATGCCAAGGATAGTAGGATACGGACAGTATTGAGCTTAGCTACAGGAGCAAAGGTCTCTTGATAGTCAATCCCATACGTCTGAGTGTATCCTTTAGCCACAAGACAAGCTTTGTACCGCTCAAGAGATCCATCAGCCTTGTCATGTATTTGACAGTAAAGATCCACCTGCAACCAACAACATGCCTCCCAGGAGGTTTAGTCACAATATCCCAAGTATGGTTCTTTTCAAGAGCTCTAATTTCCTCTTGCATAGCATCCCTCCATTCTTTCTTTCCTAATGCCTCAGAAACAGAGTTGGGTATGGGAATTTCATTAAGTCTCTGAACAAACAAGGCATGTGAAGGAGAGAAGTTATCAATGGTAACAAAATTAGCAAGAGGGTATAGAGGTGTTTTGGTACATTGACGTACACCCTTGCGTAAAACAATTGGCGGAGATGGTGGTGGAGAAGAAGAGACATTACTTGGGTCAGCCAATTGGTCATGCGTCAACAATGGAGTGAACCTGTTTTTCCTTGAGTACAATTTTGTCATTGGTAGAGGAGAAGATGGGTCATGAGTGGTGGATCTAGTAGGTGTAGGAATGAATGGTCTGGTGGTGGATTTGATTGAGGTTCAGGTGATGTTGAAGACTGTTGGGAAGTAGGTGAGGTTGCTGACACATCTAAGGAAGGTGATGAATGATCATGTGGTGGTGGTGGTGGTGATGGGATGTGTGGTGATAAAGGCTTAGGAGGGTAGGAGATTGTATGTGGTGGAGAAGATGTAATAGTATAGGTGGGTAGAGGTGAAGGATGTGGAGTATCTTGGGATACAGAGAGAAGTAGGAGTGTAAAAAGGTGTGTCTTCGTGAAAGGTCACATCTGCACTGGTGTATGTCTTTCTGGTTGTAGGATTATAGCACTTATATCCTTTCTGAGTTGGAGAATAACCAAGAAAGATACACTTAATAGATCGTGGGTCCAATTTTCCCCTATGAGGTGGAGGAATATGAACAAATGCAGTACACCCAAACACTCTTAGATCAAGATCAGAAGAAATTCTGGTTTGAGGAAAGAAGTGACGGAGAGATTCAAGGGGTGACTTATTTTGGAGTACCCGACTGGGAATTTTATTGATGAGATGACATGTTGTGAGTGTGGCTTCCCCCCAATAGTGTTTAGGCATATTTGATTGAAACAATAAAGCCCGGCTGACTTCTAGGAGATGGCGATTTTTTCTTTCTGTTGTGCCATTCTGTTGTGGTGTGTACGGACAAGAGGACTCATGAACGATGCCTTTTGAGAGGAAATAAGAGGAAACAGTTTGATTGAAGTATTCAAGAGCATTGTAAGTGCGCGGAAGCGTTTTATTGTGGCGGAGAACTGATTATGAATCATATTGCAAAAGATAGGAATGATGGAACTCACCTCACTCTTGTTTTTTAGCAGAAAAACCCACATAAAACGTGTACAATCATCAATAAATGTAACATACCACCGGGCACCAGATATATTAGCAATTGGAGCAGGACCCCAGACATCACTATGTATAATATCAAAAGGAGAACAATTGATTGTATTACTTCTAGAAAAAGATACACGAGACTGTTTAGCAAGTTCACAAACATCACATTGAAATGTAGAAACATCAATACTACTAAAAAGACTAGGAAGCATGGTTTTTAGGACATGAAAAGAGGGATGACGAAGGTGCTTGTGGTGAAGCCAAATAGTGTTTGTATTGGCTGTGATTGTGGTAAGAGCTTTTTGTGGAGGTTTGGAGACAAACAGTGCATCAAGGTAGTACAGGCCATCTCTTTGTTTAGCAATTCCAATCGTCCTCCCTGTGTGTAGATCCTGTAAAAAACAGTGGGAAGGGAAAAAAATGGCAGCACAATTAAGATCAACTGTGAGTTTGTAAATAGAAGCAAGGTTCATAGCCAGGTTTGGGACATGTAGGGTGTTTTTCAGATTTAATTTTTCAAAAAAAACAACTGTACCAAGTCCCGCAACCTTTGTAGGTGTCCCATCAGCAGTACTAATGTGTGTGGATGTAAAACATGGATGATAATTAGAGAGTAAAGAGGGTATGGCAGTCATATGAGATGTGGCACCTGAGTCTAATATCCATTGGGATTGTGAACTCTGTTCCAAAGCATTAAGACAAAAAATAGTAGAGGTTTTACCTTGCAGGGCCAAAGAGCTATGACCAGAACCATTTGAGTTATTAAGAGACTGTAACATCATACGAAGTTGCTGTAATTCCTCATGGTAAAATGGGCGAAAGATTAGTAGAGCTCTCAACAATAGTGGGAGTGACTGAGTTGGCACATCCAGCACTAGTTCCACGTCTGTCCTGGCTTTTTCTTTCTGTAGATGAGGATAAAGTTTCCAGCATGTATCCACATTATGGTTGGACCGCTTGCAATGATCACACCATCTTCCTCCCTTACTACCCTTGGTTTCCTTAACATCTGAAGGAGTAGATTTGGCAGCAAGAGTTGTACTGTCAATCAGATTTGTATTCATCATTATATTGCGTCTACTCTCTTCATGTTTGATAGTGGCAATGGCAGAAGATATGGAAGGCAGAGTAATGCCAAGAATTTGACCCCGAGTCTGATCATATTCGGGATTTAAACCAGACAAGAAGCAATATAGACGTTGCTGATTTATATAGTTCTTGTGAAGAGCTGCATCTGCAGCATTCGGCCACTTCATCGTTTGATACTGGTCAAGTTCAGACCATCGTCGTTGGAGGTCAGTTGCATAATCTGTGACAGATTGTGAATCTTGCTTAAGATTCGTTGTTTTGAGCCATAAGTCATAGACAAAAGCGCCATCTTTAGCAACAGAGTAGGACTGCTGTATGAAATCCCAGATTTCTTTAGCCGAGTCCATGTATAAACATGTACTGCTAATGTTGGGATCCATTGAGTCCCATAACCAGACCTGTATGTTGGCATTAGTTTTCTCCAAAATAGCAGCATCAATCTCTCCTTCTGGGGTAGAGACAGTGAGATAGTCTTCAAGATCTTTGCCACGTAGGAGAGTGTAAACCAGCTTTGACCACCCAAGATAGTTCCTGCCATTGAGACAGTAATATGGCGGGATAGAAGGGAGATCAAATTTCTGATTTCGAAGAGCAAACGTGGCTGCAGTAGCAGCTGAAACAATGGTCGAGTGATCAAGGTTACTTGAGGCTGATTCGGCTTCTTTAGACATGATAAAACCCTTGATGAAAAGACTCCACCGGGAGTTAAAGAGAGAGAAGGGTAGAGACACCCAAAAAATGACCGTTGGAGAGGCGATAGACTAAAAAAAGGCTTAGACGAAACCTAGCTTTGATACCATGAAGTTTTCTGAATATTATTTCCATGAATTCATTTACAAGAAGTACATAAGCTATTTATAC